CTCTTCTAACCACCACGCTCTTGCTATGGCTCTAATAGCTCTGACCCCAGGGCAACTTTATTTATTAACATAAAATTAAAATCACATTTCAGTACAAATAAAATATCACCATACTCTATAAAAAAGGAGCAAATGCACCCAAGAGAAGCAGAAGGCAAAATATAATCAAACTGAGGTCGGAAATCAATAAAATAGAAACAAAGAAAATGATAAAGAATCAATGAAACAAAGACTTGGTTCTTTGAGAAAATCTACCAGATAGATAAACCCTTATCCAAACTAAATAAAAGACAAGAAAGAATATCCAAATAAACAAAATCAGAAACAAAAAGGGGGCATAACAACAGAAACCAAGGCAATCCAAAGAATCATAAGGACATACTTTAAATCCTGTACTCCACCAAAAGGGAAAACCTAAAAGAAATGGATAATTTTCTCAATAGATAACACTTAACCAAAGTTAAATTAAGGTCAGATAAACAATCTAAATAAATCTGTGATCCTAAATGAAATAGAAGCAGTCATTAAAAGTGTCCCAAACAAACAAACACCCAGAGCAAGATAGTAATCTTGGAGAGTTCTAGCAGACTTTCAAAGAGGAGCTAATATCAAGATTCCTCAAACTATTCCACAAAATAGAAACAGAGGGAAAATTACCAAATTCATTCTATGAGGCATAGTCACCCTGATACCCAAACCATATAAAAACTCAACAAAGAAAGAGAATTACACACCAATTTCCCTCATAAACATAGATGAAAAAACACTCAATAAAATACTTGTGAACTGAATCAAAAATCACATCAAAAAGATCCTCCACCAACTCAAGTAGATTTCACCCTAGAGATGCAGGGATAGCTCAACATACAAAATTCAGTGTAATCTACCATATAAATAATCTGAAAGAAAAACCACATGTGATCCTCATTAGATGCTGAAAAGCCTTTGAGGAAAAAAATCTAAAATCCCTTCACAACTTAGTTCTTATTCATTAAAATTAACATTCTCTTAAGAACCTACAAGTTATTGCTATTTCCCTTAGTGTACAGTACACAGTTAATGCACATGCTAGATTTAACTTAGTTATGTTTAATTTAATTATGTAGCACACTAGAAAATAGAAATCTGAACATATTTTATTTTACAATTAAAGAAATCCAAACATTCATGTATAAATAAATTATTCTTCAGTTGCTTATAATTTTGATGTGCTTACCCATTACAAGTTTTAAAAATAACATCTTATTTGCATATACAAAACTAGTCATTGAAGATTGATGAATAGAACATAGGCTGTAGAGTGTTCAATTTTCCATGAAAATAATAACTAAGTGGTCAACATAATTGACAAACATAATAAATCTTTTTGCAAAAATATGCTTGATTGTAGCTCTAACTTCACAAATTAATAAGCTTAAACAAGTAATACAGGCAAAGACAGCAATATTTTGGGAATACTTCCCAGATACACAGAATACGTTATGGTCCACATATGCATTTTTTTTCATTGCAAAACACAGGAGACAATCGGCATGGCCCCAAATAGTCCTTTTATATAAATATTCCAAAAAGTGATCCTTTTATTATTGCAATTTCTAATAACCTGTATAGCATCACAACCATTTCAAATTATCTTTTTTTACATTAACACTGATGAAATTGTATCTGCATAATATTAATAGCATTATAAGATCATATTTCCTCTTTAATAAACCATTTTAAAATCAGATCTTTTTGTAATTAATGAAAGTGTTATAAGTTATTATATATTTTGTGCCAAAAAGTTAATATGACTTTGAGATTATTTGTTATGACATATAGGCATATTTTCATTATATGCACAATAAAAGTAAATCTATAAAATGATAGAATGAGCAAGTATATCTTACTGTTGATCAATCGGGTAGACTTCTACACAAAATCAACATAAAAATTCAAATAACTACATTTTATAAAGTTGTATTTCAAAACAACAAAGAAATATGTAATCTTCAGTTAATAACAAAAAATATTTAAAAGCTTGTCTGTGTTTAGAGCAATGGTACTGGCATGCAGCATGAAATAACTAGAGACCACATCAGAAAGTGAGCAGCATTAGAAAGCATAATTTCTTTACAGTAGAGGAAATATATGAAACTTATCTAGAGTATGGTGACATATGGAGACTATGGAAGTGAGAGTTAGCCAGCAGGAAAGGTCATTAAAGGACTTTGATTAAATGCACCTGACCCAGGGTTCTGCTTGTCCCCCACTGGAATTTTTTTCTTTTTATCTATGGTACAGACTAGTCTCATGTTGGGGAGAGGCTTGTCATATAGAGTACATCACTCAGTCTGGTACATATAACCACATAATTTCCCTATGAGAAGAAATTGCTTTTCATCATACTTTATGGATCAATACCTTAATTACCAATACTGTGTGGGTGAAAGTTATATGAATGATGTTGCCCCTTATCATTGAGCAAATAGTCCAATACCTAAAACTCTCCTCAAGTCTCTGTCCCAAACTGGACCCAACTGCTGCTGCTTATGATCTGGTTCTGGAGTGTGTGTGTGCATGTGTGTGTGTGTGTGTGTGTGTGTGTGTGTGTGTGTGTGTGTGACAACACATCACACTCAGATCTATTGCCCCAGTTTGTATATGATGTTGAATTCTGTAGAAACAAAAATAGCACAAAACATAACTTAGATGTGTAAATAAATTCATATGGGATAACAGAGTGAGGAATGATTAAGAACAAGGTATAGGAGCATGTATATGAAGATTTTCATCACCTTGAATAACACCCAAAATATTAGTGGACTTTGGGGATGTCTCAGTAGGTAAGAGAACTTGCTACTGAAGCAAGAAGGCCCGATTTGAATATCTAGCATAAACACGCAGAACTGGGCATGGTTGAGTACCTGTAACCCCATTGGGAGGGGTAAGTGTGGAGATGGGCAGACCCCAGAGCTCTCTACCAGGCAGCTACTTTAAAACAGTGAGCTTCTGGTTCAGTGAGAGGCTCTATCTCAAAGCAATAAAGTAGAGAGCAACAGAGGAAAACGCTAGCATCCTTCTCTGGCATCTACCTCAATCAGATTTTAACAAATAGTTGGTAAATTTACTTCTAGTCTTTGAGTTTTTCTTCTGACTCATAAAATATCAATGCAGAACGAAAACCCCCTATTCAAATTACTAGAAAATTTTTATAGGCCTGAAAATATCCCATGACAAGAGATTTGCAGGGAAGGGCACTGGTAATTTCAGTCATAAACAAACAACCTAAAGGTCAAGATTGACTCAATGAAATATTGATTCCATAATATGTAAATATAATTGATCTTACTGTACCATCAACATTACACTAATAAATTTAAAATTGGGGACAATTGTGGAAGAGATGTGTCCCTTACTGCTTTCTATATATTGTTTAATGTGTGTAATGGAATAAAATAAAATGTGTGAGTATATAGAAGGGGCATAGGAAAGCCTGGGGCATTTCTCCATTGCTGGGGTCTTCCATCTTTTGAGATGGGGTCTCTTCCTTGTTTTACATGCACCAAGCAGGTTTGATAGACTGATCAGTGAGACCTGATTTTAATATTAGATTTATAAACTCATCACTATTCCTGGATTTATAAAATGGATTCTGGGCATGGAAATTGGGTCTTGATGCTTGCAAGGCAAATATATCACTGACTAAGTCATCTTCCTAGATCCACAAACATGTTTTAACTAAATAAATTTTATCTAAGACTGAAGAAAGTGTTTATGTTTTCCACTTTCCTTCTCCTATCATACTTTCCTTTGTATGATTCAGTTTTGCAACCCCACAAACTTGCATTTTTCTACCTTACTATCCTTCTCCTCCAGTCATCTTTAAAGGGGAGGAGGACTCATCTATTAAGTAGGTATTTCTGTTCTCTTGCTAGTCACACATCTTTGTTCATCCTTTTTTTATTAAGATAATTTTTCATTCATTTTACACACCAATCAAAGATCCCCCTTGTCCCTTCCCCACCCACCTCCAGCCTCCTCCCAAACCACCCTCTATTTCCCCCACAAGAAGGCAAGGCCTCCCATGGGGAGGCACATCTAGTAGAGGCAAGTCCAAACCCTTCACCCTGCCTCAAGGCTGCAGAAGGATCCCATCATAGGATTATAGGTAGTAGGCTCCAAAAAGCCCTCTCATGGATTCTGATTCTACTGCCAGGGTGCTCCCCAAGCAGATCAAGCTGCACAATTGTCTCGCCTTACAGAGGGCCTAGTCCAGTCCCATGTAGGCTACACGGCCATTAATCTAACTTTCATGATTTCCCACTAGTTCAGGGAAGGGGGAATGAGAACATAAGGGAACAGGATGGTCAAGTTGGCATAGTGATGGAGTGGGAAAACAATGAGAGAGATACCATGATGGAGGGAGATATCATGGGGATTGAGAGAAATTCGGTGCTAGGGAAGTTGTCAGGAATCTCCAAAGATGACCCCAGCTTGGACTACTAGAAATAGTGGAGAGGGTGCCTGACCTGAACTGGTTTGTCCCAGTGATCAGATCAGTGAATATCCTAACTGTCATCACAGAACTTTTCTCCAATGGCTGATGGAGGTAGATGCAGAGATCCACAGCCAAACACCAGGCAGAGCTCCAAGGAGTCCAGTAAGAGAGAGAGGAGAGGGAGTCTATGAGCATGTGTATCTGAACCATGATGGGGAAACCTGCAGAGATGACCAAACCAAACTAGAGGAAACTCTGAATGTTCACCCATTTTCATTATCAGACTTCCTCCTGTGGCGTTCAAGGCAAAGCCTCTTCGTATTTGCAAGAGCAGAAAATGAAAAGGAATCCCTCCCTTTACTCAAGTTTTTGCTGCTAAACCCTGAGAAAGTTAGTGCTTGT